CACCAAACCCCACCCCTGCCCTGGGGGATCCCAATGCTTCAAAGCACCACACAAAGAGAATGTTAATTATTATTTGGAATAATAATTACAGCAGTGCTACAAAGGAGCCAAGAAGCTTTAGGAAGGTAAGAGCTAAATTTGCTGCCAAAGGAATTCTCACCCTCAGGCCTGGGAAGTAGGATAAGAACCTGTTTCTTCCAACTCTGATTTACTCATTCACAGGCAGGCGCTGAGCTGGGAGCTGGGGTGTGGCAGGTCACCAGTCAGAGTTGGTAGTTATATGATTGAGTTGCTCACCAGGTGGTGGGCGGAGTAGTTACAAAAAAATAGAGCACAAGATAAAGAAAGGGGCTCCGCAGAAGCTCCAGTGAGGGACTTGGTCCAGACTTACTGGGGTGGGGGTGGTCTAGGAAGGCTTCCTGGAAGAGGTGATATCTGAACTGATCTCCAGGGGTTATATTACAATGCAATGCAGTGTTACCAGGTAAAGTAGTGGAGGAAGGACATTCCAGGAAGTCATTCCTTCATTCCATTCCTTACCAATGTACAGGGTGCATGTTGTTAGGCCCTGTCCTGAATGGTGGTGTAGGGACACTGCACACCTCATCAAGGTGATGTGTATGGATTCCATTTGCCCTGTCTACCCCTGTGTCCTTCGTGCCCACACTGTGTCTCTCTCACAGCAGGTGCCCAATGCATGTGAATTGAACAAATGATGAGTCGGCAATATTGTGGTAAAATAAACTGTTTTTGTTACATGTATGTTGAGGGGAGGGGGGAATATTCAATTTTGCATCTTTTTAAAATTAGTTATTCAACTGAAGGGTAAGTAAAAATAGCTAATGTTTACTGTATCCTTACTCTCAGCCAGGCAGTGTTCTGATGCTTTGCATGTATTAACTCGTGAATCCTCGCAGGAACCTATGACTATTCTAGTGTGCAGGCAGTATGCACACGAGTGTGCATCAGTATCCCCTGAAGGGCTCATGAAAAAAATTGCTGGGCCACCGCCAGAGTTTCAGATTCAGTGGGTCCCAGGTAGGGGCCAAGAATTTGCATTTCTTAACAAGTTCCCAGGTGGTGCTGTGCGGCTGGTCTGAGGTTGGACTTTGAGAACCACTGCATTAGAGGAACGTAAAGGTGGGCAATGTGTTGCAGCGTGGTTATCAAGAGGGAAGGTGGTGCTGGGCGGAAGGCCTGCGTGAGCCTTGTGCACTGCCTGTGGGCACCTGGCCAAGCAGAAATTGGTGGCTGAAATGTTCCTCCTCATCTGCTTGCCGGGCTCCATGCCCCGGCGCAAGTCTGCAGTGCTCCTGAGGGTGCTCTTGTCTAAGACACACAAAGGACTATCTATATAAGCCAGAGGCACTCTGGGTCTGAAGGTAGATCACGTAGGACTGTGCAGGCCAGAGTCAAGTGTTTGCACTGGAGGGTTTTAAGCAAGAGTGACATGACCCTATTCAAGTTTTAAGAAAGATCCCTCTGATGAGTGGATGAACAAAATGTGGTCCACACATGCTGTGGAACACTATCCAGTCTTAGAAAAGAAGGAATTCTGACCCATACTACAACACGGATGAACCTTGAGGACATTATGCTAAGTGAAAAAAGCCAGTCACAAAGGGACAAATACTGTGTGATTCCACTCATATGATATATCAATGTAGTCAAAATCTCAGAAACAGAAACTAGAATGATGGTTGCCTGGCGCTCGGGAGAGGAAGGAACTGGGAGCCTTTGTTCCGTGGGTACAGAGTTTCGGTTTGGGAAGATGGAGAGTTCTGGAGATGGATGGCGGTGATGGCTGCACAATAATGTGAACGTACTTCATGCTACTGAACTGTACACTTACAAACCTTTTTTTTTTTGAGACAGTGTCTCACTCTGTTGCTCAGGCTAGAGTGAGTGCCGTGGCGTCAGCCTAGCTCACAGCAACCTCAAACTCCTGGGCTCAAGTGATCCTCCTGCCTCAGCCTCCTGAGTAGCTGGGACTACAGGCATGCGCCACCATGCCCAGCTAATTTTTGTATATATATTTTTAGTTGGTCAATGAATTTCTTTCTATTTATAGTAGAGACAGGGTCTCGCTCTTGCTCAGGCTGGCTTTGAACTCCTGACCTTGAGCAATCCGCCACCTTGGCCTCCCAGAGTGCTAGGATTACAGGCGTGAGCCACCACGACCCGCTACTTAAAAACCTTAAACTTGATTAAAATGGTAATTTTTTTGTTATATATATAACCACAATAAAAAAAATAAGGTCCTCCTGGCTGCTGAGTGGAGCCGGGCCTGAGGGGCAAGGGTGGGAGGGGCCACTGTGGAAGCAGGACAATGTCCAGAGAGGCTGTGAACTAAAGTAAAGTTTTAAGGCTCAACCCCCACTGGCTGACTAAATGGACCCCCTCAAGGCCAAAGGAATATCCTAAAATTAAATTTTCTGCCAGGAGGAGGGAGGTCAGACATGTCTTATCATACCTCCCTCCCTTCTAGGAGACTTCCTTTGTAATCCATTAACAGGCTTAAGGGTATGCAAGACAAATCCTCAATTTGGTCCTCAATTTACACCACAAATCTATGTCCTGTGGCTTATTTCTGATAATAGCTCCTTATGTTAAAACATTCCAAGCCTTTAGAGAAAGCTTCCTGACTTTAACCAATTACAAGCCAAAGAATCTTTAAACCCATCTATAACCTGTAAGCCTCCCCCCTTCGAGATGTCCCACCTTTTGGGGCCAAACCAATGTATGGCTCCCATATATTGATTGATGGCTTTACCTGCAACCCCCCCCCCCCCCCCCCCTCCCTGAAATGTATAAAAACCAAACTGTAACCCAGCCACAATGAGTTTACTTGTCCAAGGCCTCTTGGGAGTGGCTCTGGGTCATGGTCCTCAAATTTGGCTCAGAATAAATCTCTTTAAAATTATTTTACAGAGTTTGGCTTTTTCCGTTGACAAGGTCATGGAGACTTAGACCAAGTGATAGCAGTAGAGGAGAGAGCAGTGGACAAATTGTGACTCTATTCTGAAGGCAGAGCCAACAGGACTTGCTGATAGACTGATTGCATGTGGGGAGTGATGAAAAAAGAGAATCAAGAGGCACCTTTCCATTTTGAGTCTGAACATTTAGGTGAATGATGGGCTTTCTAAGATGGCAGAGTCGTGGGAAGAAACAAGTTTCTTTGCACAGCCGGGAGGGAGTGAAAAATTCTCTACTGCCCTCCTTAGGTTGGAGATGCCTATTATGAAATCCAAGTGGAATGTGAAGTTGGCCATGGGATGTGAGTGGGAACAAGATCAGCATGTTCTAGGAGCAGAAAAGAGGCTAGTGTGACTGGAAGACATTAAACAAGGAGGGGAGAGGGGGCAGACAGGTGGGCCAGGGCAGGTTAGGCCACTATGAGGAGGTTAGTCAGGAATTTCTGAGTCAGCCACTAATCGCTTGTGAAACCTGGGGGGAAAGTTATTGTCCATCTGTGAATTTGGTAAGAACAAGAACTTCCGTTTAATGAATGCTTGTTATGTGCCAGCCGCTGCCAACCTTTTGATGATGTGGAGTCCAGCAGGTGGAGGAAGGGAGGGGGGGTTCTCTTATCCCTTGCTGTGCAGAGAAGGAAACATGCTGCAGGCTGGGGTAGGACCAGCCCTGGAACACTTGGCTAGTATGAGCCATAACCAAGCCAGGAACCGTCTGGATTCAGAGCTTCAGCTCATCTCTTAGGATTTCTTCCCATTTCTGAGATGGAGAAACTGAGGCCCCGGGATGGGGCAGTAGCCTGGCCAACAAGCACTTGGAGGTTCTCTCCCCCAGTTCACTGGAAGCGAAACCGAAGCCAGAGCCAGGGCAGTGTCAGGTCCAGGTTCACACAGGCAGAACCTAACCGGAGCCCCAGCACGGCCCCTCCTGAGCCGCTGCTCACCCTAGAACCGGAGGGCCGCCCGCTCACGTCCAGATTCCCGGCGCCAACCTTGTTTAGATCTGCCCCAGTTGGTAGAACTACAAACGCGACCCGTTGTCAAGGAGACCTATCCGCACTCCTGATTGGCGGAGAACTCTGGCCAGTCTCCTCCTCCTCTTCCTCTTCCTCGCCGGCCCGCTTCCCGAGTCCCCGAGGGCCCGCCTCCTCCGGTCTCCACGACAACGCCAACATGGCTTCTCCGTCTCTCTGCCCGCCCCGGCACGTCTGCGCATGCCCGAGGCCCGCACGCCGGCCCCTGGAAGCCCCGCATGCAATCTGGGAAACGTAGGCCGAAGCCCGCCGCGCTCCGGTCGCACGGCTTGCGCCTGCGAGGGCCAATGGACCGCTGGTCGCGCTTCGGTGCATCTTGGGAAGTGTAGTTTTGGCGCTGGCGGGAGCGCCTTGCGGGGATGGACGGGAGTGTGTCGCCCCGCGAGGGCCAATGGGAAGCTGCCGTTGCCGTGATGCTTCCTGGGAAGTGTAGTTCCTGAGGAGGCCGGGGGCGGGGGCTTGTCGGGCGGAATGCGCGACTCCAAGTGGTGGGCTGGGGGAGGAGGGACGAGTGAGTTTGGCGCAAAGCCTGCCGGGGCATGGAGTCCCGGTGAGCTTTGTGCGCATGTGCGAGAAAGTGAGGGGGCTTGGGGGGCCTAGCCTGGGAGAGTGAGGTGAGCTGGGGGGAAAGGAGGGAGGGGTGGGGGGGCGGTTGGACGAGGGAGGGACCGGCTGTGGGGACAAGGTCCCGGGGCCGGAGCCGGGAGGGATGGGGGAGTTGGGGGAGGGGATGAGAAGGTGGCTGAGTGAAAGGGAGGGGCTGGGGGAGGGGGAGGTCGGGAAGTGGGAGGGGGCCGTGGATCCCTGAGGTAGTGAACGCGGGAGGGAGAAACCGAGGGAGGGGGTGGGGGAGGGTGTAGGGAGGGGCGGGGACGGGGAGGGGGAGGGCACCCCAGCAGGGGGTGGGGCGAGAGAGGAAAGCTGGGTGGGAAGCTGGACCCTACAAAGGAGTCAGGGGGCTTCGGTACCAGACCCCCTCGGAAAGGTTTGCGGGAAGGGGCTTCGGGGAAGGTACGGTGCAGGTGGCTATTTGGAGCGCTCTTTTCACAAGCGCGGTTGCACTTTTATAGAGTTGTGAGATTCCCGAGGATAAAAATCGTTGCCCTGTTTTATTTCTTTCTTAAGAGCACCTACCTTATGAGTTTGTTGCAAGGGATTAAATTCGTCAATTTGTGTAAAGCGCTTAAAGACTGGGTTTGCTATTATCACCTGAAATTGCCCACCCCCTACCTCTACTCCAATCAGGATGGAGTCACTTTCTTTTATATTTTAATGACTATTCCAATTTATACTTATATGTTAATCTGTTTTGTTCACAGTTGTGTCCCTTAACACCTCATGGCAACCTGGGACAAAGTGAGGCTAACTGGCTGGCGTTTACTCACTAGCCGGCTGCTGTTCTCAGCATTTTTGTTTTCTTTATATCATTTTACAGCCGAGGAAATGGAGCTACAGGGTATAAAAGGTGCTGTTGTACCTTGTGCAAGGACACATAGCTGGTAGGAGGTAGAGGTGGAACTTGCTTCAGAGCCCTTGTGCTGTAAGTAAATATTTGTCTAGTGGGCTAGTGGCTCTCAACCAGGGCTGGTTTTGTCCCTCGGGGGACATGTGGCAATGTCTGGAGACATTTTGGGTTGTCATAACTGAAGAAGTGCTACTGGCATCTAGTGGAAAGAGACAGAGATGCTGCTTAACATTTTTTGCACAGGATGGCCCCCCCCAACATGGAATTGTCCAGTCCCAAATATCATTAATGCTGAGGTTGGCAGACTTGAGTATATGAACCAGGCTTCATCCAGCACTTTCTCTTTGCTGCACCACTCCTAACTCGTGCTCCCAGCACCCTCTTGAGAGGACAAAGCTGTTATTAGTTCTATGTGACAGGTTTACAGGGGGAGAAATTAAGCTCAGAGAGGGCAAGTCACATGTTCAAGGTCACACAGCTGATGAGTGGCAGAGCAACAAGTTGAAGCCAGGCAGCCAAGCTCTAGAGCCTGAGTCTTAGCCATGATGTTAATTCTCCCCTGCGTAGGTCCTGGTCCCATGGGCTCTGCAATTGGGTCTGGGTTTGATTCCTGTCTCTTTTACTCTCTGAGTGTCTGTTTCTCCTTCTGTAAAGTGGAGCCCAGCTCACGGGGCTGTTGGGAAGGTTTGGTGGAGCAATGTAAGACATATGCCTCTCATTGGCTGACTCCTGGCTCCAGGGCTCCTGGCTGTGGTCTGGATCATGCTATGCAGACAAAGACAGCAGACAGCAGGGTTACAGCTGCTTCTGTACAGGTAGCACAGGGCACCTGTTGGACAATAGGGTGGATTTCCATGGTGTTGGCCTGATTTAATCACTCAGTATATGCTTTCTTGGGGACAGGCTCTGTGCTGGGTGATCTCAGGGACCCAGAGTAGTCTCCAACTGGGTCCTTTCCCCAAAGAGCGCGCTTTCTGGACAGCCTGAGATGTGAGGACCTGTGGTGCCCGCCAAGATTGCAAGCCTGGTCAGCTTGATGCCCGTGGCCTTGCTCTGTGGCTCAAATTGCTCAAATTCCAGAGGGATCTTTTCACAGCAGAGCAGGCTTCTGTGCCACTTTTGACACTCACTCTGGCCCCTTCCTGCCTGCTCCCAGGTTAATCAGTCCCAGAGTCGAAGGGTGGGTGGGAGGTGATGCAGGCTAGCTCTGGAGCCAGATAGATATGAGTGTGTGAATTCAGGTGCTGCCACTTATTAGCTCAGTGACTTTGGGCAAGATGCCTTTACTTTCTCCATCTGCAACATGGGGTAATAATACCAACCTCATGGGATTGGTATCCTATAAACTCTCTTTGGGTGCTAGCCAGGACACTGGGCTGGGAATAATATGGGTCTCTTGCCCTCATGGAGCTTAAATTCTGGTGAGGGAAGACACACAAGTAAGGTAACTCCAGATCTTCTTAAATGCTAAACGAACATTAATAAGGGTGCGTGGTAGAGAGCAGCTGGGAGGAAGGGCGTGCAGGTGCAGTGTTAGAACAGGTGGGCTGGGGAGGCTCCCCAAGGGGGTAATTGCATCAGGACCTCGATGTTGAGAAGGAGCCAGCTGAGCAAAGATCAGGGGAAAGAGGCATCCAGGGGAAGGGAACAGCAAGTGCAAGGGCCCCGAGGTAAGAGCTGGCCTCAAGTCTCAGAGGATACAGAAGGGCCAGTGTGGCTGCAGTACAGAGAACCAGGAAAAGAGGGCTAAGAGGTGAGGAAGGTGGTCAGTGCATGGGCTTGTGGCCATACTAAGGAGTTTGGGTTTTATTTTGAGCATTGTAGGAAGCAGTTGGAGGGTATTGATCACGGAAGTGACATAATACAGCTTACATTGAAGAAAAAAATCTTTGTGATTGCTGTGGAGTGATTTTACGCTGGGGTGGTAGCAGCAGGGAGACGCCCCGGGGTCCTGTGGCAGCCATCCCAGTGATGAGATGACGTGTGTGGTTCACGTGGTGGCCAAGAGCACAGGCTCTAGAGTTAGCCTATCCAGGGGCCGTCTCACTCTGCCCCCACGGCCTGTCTTAGTCTGGACTGCTATGACCAATATCTGGGTGGCTTATGACCAACTTCTGACTTCTCATGGTTCTGGAGGTCTGAGATCAGGGTGCCAGCGTGGTCGGTGGTGGTGAGGGCTCACTTCTGTGCTGCAGAAGGCCGCCTTCTTGTTGTGTCCTCACGTGGTAGAAAGTGGTGAGAGAGCTCTCTGGGGTCTCTTCTATAAGACACTCATCCCATTCATGAGGCTCCACCCTCATGACCTCGTCACCTCCCAAAGGCCCCACCTCCTGATGCCATCACCTTGAGGGTGAGGATTTCCGTGTGAATTTGGAGGGCACGCAACCATTCAGTCCACTGCATACCCTGTACCTTTGAGCTAAAAGATGTTCTCTCTTGATCTTTTTTTCTGCCACAAAATGGGGTTGGCAGCAGAACATTCCTGGAAAAGGGCAGCTGCAGGGATTCCAAGAGGTGTCACGAGCGAGCACACAGTCAGTTAACTTCCACCTTAGTGAGCGTCACATATCCACAGAGTTACTGTGACGCTAAAGGTGTGTGTAGTGGCTGTCCGTGCTCCAGCAGTGCTCTCAGTAACAGGGCCAGACCTGTAGAGTTTCTTGGCCTTTCTGTTATGAGTCTGATGGACATTGTAGGTAGGACATTGTTGGTTTTCTTGGCTTTTCCCTAATGGTCACTGCATGGCTGTGGGGTCCACACAGTGCCTTCCCCCCACAGGGAGGAGCTCCAGACAGAGGGAGCCCTAATTAGCCTGCCTCGTATCAGGAGGAAAATCGTCCAAACACAGACTTCCTCTTAGACCTCACTGGCCAGAACCAGATCACGTGTCCAGCCCCTGCCTTGTGGTCAGGGGGCTTCCCAGGAGTCCTATGATACAGGCCAAGCTGCTGTAACAGAGAGACCCCAAGATACAGTGCCTCAAATATTAATAAGACAGAACTTATTCTTTTCTCATAACTGTCCAGTGGTGTTCTGGGACGGGTTGGTGTCTGAGCCCCCTGGGGTCATTGGTGTCCCTTCTGTCCTGGTCTTCCATCACCCTTGAGTTCAGGTGCCAGCAGATTTTTTTCTGTGAAGAGCCAGATAGTAAATATTTTGGCCTCATGGGCAGCTTTGCAGGTGACCGGGTCTCTGTTGCAGCTGTTCCCTGGTAGCCCCAGAGCATCCAGGGACTGTGTGTAAGCAAATGGGTGTTGCCAAGTGTTAATAACATTTTATTTTTAAAAAGCAGGCTGCTAGGCCAGTGGTTCTCAAACATTTAGAAATCAGAAACCTTTACACCCTTAAAAATTATTGAAGACCCTAAAGCACTTTTATTTATGGGGCTTATATCTATTGATATGTGTCATATTAGAAACTAACACTCAGAAAATTTCAAAGTATTAATGCATTTAAAAATAACAATAAGGGCCAGGTGTGGTGGCTCACGCCTGTAATCCTAGCGCTCTAGGAGGCCAAGGCGGGCGAATCGCTCCAGGTCACGAGTTCGAAACCAGCCTGAGCGAGACCCCGTCTCTACCAAAAATAGAAAGAAATTAATTGACCAACTAAAAATATATATACAAAAAATTGGCCAGGCATGGTGGCGCATGCCTGTAGTCCCAGCTACTCGGGAGGCTGAGGCAGGAGGATCGCTTGAGCCCAGGAGTTTGAGGTTGCTGTGAGCTAGGCTGACGCCACGGCACTCACTCTAGCCTGTCTCAAAATAAATAAATAACAATAACAATACTTTTCATATGTTAACATACATGATATTTTTTAAATGAAAAATAACCATGTTTTTTAAAACAAAAATTTAGAAATATGGCATTATTTTTTCACACATCTCTTCCATGTCTGCTCTGAAGAGAGCTGGGTCTTGTATCTCCTCTCGCACTCAACCTGTGGCCTCCAGAAAAGCCCCCGTGTGCTCGCAAGAGGGTGAGAGTGGAAGCGCAAATGACCTCTTAGTGTTATCACAAAAGCAGTTCTGATGTCACAGAAACCCAGACGTCCCCAGGCCATCCCAGGTTCAACCCACTGTTCCAGGGCCAACCCACTGTTCCAGGCCAGGGTTTCTCAACCTTGGCGCTATTAACATTTGGGGCTGGTCATTCTTTGCTGTGGGGGCAAGTCCTGTGCTCTGGAGGGTGTTGAGCAGCAGCCCTGGCCTCCGCCCACTAGGTGGCAACAGCATCACTCCTCTCATCCACTGTCCCCACAGTCAGAAAATATTTCCAGATGTCCCCTGGGGAGTTCAAGACCACTGCTCTAGGCTGTAGCCTTCATCCTCCCAGCCAAAGCCACAGCCTGTGTTCCCGCCTTAAGGAAGGGGAAGGAGAAAGACAAGGGCAGGTGGCTTCCTTGGGGGATGGCGGTATCACAGAAAGGGGAGAGGGGCAGATGGCTGCTGGGGATCTCTTGGCAGTCTGCCACATTCGCTGACATTCGAACGTGATTGGGGATCCGTCATGGTAGTGGTGTGTTCCAGCTGTGCTCTGGACTGAGTGTAACCCCTCCAATTCATCCCCATTGTGACGGTGTTAGGAGATGGGGCCTTTGGCACTTGGGAGGTCATGAGGGTGGAGCCCTCACATGGGATTGGCGCCCTTAGAAGAGGCACTCTCTGCTGCCTGCCACGTGAGGACACAGGAGGTGGCTGTCTGCAACCCTATGGTGCCGGCACCTTGATCTTAGAGTTTCAGCCACTAGAACTGTGAGGAATAAGTGCCTGTTGTTTGTAAGCCACTGTCAACAGAAAAAAAGCCAAAGTCTGCAAAATAATTTTAAAGATATTTATTCTGAGCCAAATTTGAGGACCATGACCTGGAGCCACTGCCAAGAGGCCTTGCTGTGGCTGGGTTACAGTTTGGTTTTTATACATTTTAGAGAAAAGGGTTCCAGGTAAAGCCATCAATCAATGTGTGGGAGGCATACATTGGTTTGGCCCAAAAAAAGAGGGCCATCCCGAAGTGGGGGCTTACAGGTTATAGGTGGGTTTAAAGATTCTTTAGATTGTAATTAGCTAAAAACATGAAGCTTTGTCTAAAGACCGGAAAGGTTTAAAAAAAAACGGTTAACAAAAAAAAACCAACAATTGGTGCAAATTGAGGGCCCAGCAGGTTTGTCTTGCACACCCTTAGGCCTGTTAATGGGTTACAAAGGAAGTCACCAAGAAGGGAGGGGGGCATGATAAGGCATGTCTGACCTCCCTCCTCCCAGCAGGCAACTTTGCCCTAGAATATTCCTTTGGCCAGGAGGAGGTCCATTCAGTCAGCTGGTAGGGGGGTGGTGAGCATTTTAGTTCACACCACCCAGTCTGTGGTACTTTGTCATGGCAGCCTGAACAGACTGTTTAATTCTGGGGGCTAGAAGTCCGAGGTCCAGGTGCCAGCATAGTTGGTTGCAGACTGCCACCCCCATGTACTTTGTTGGCAGAGAAAGAGATCTCTGGTGTCCCTTCCTCTTCTGGTAAGGCCATAGTCCTATTCGATTAGGCCCCTGCGCTTATGACCCCGCTTGACTTTACCTCCTTACAGGCCCTTCTCTAAGACAGTCACATTGGGAGAGCCTGAGTATGTGGATTCTGGGGGACATGGTTCAGTCCCGGCAGTCAGTGAGGAAGAGGTTGGGGTGGCTTTTGAGCAGGCATCCTAAAGTGTCTGCCGCAGCCGCAGGGCCTGGCCCATAGTCAGGGCAGAATAGCCTAATGTGGACCGCGCCAGCGGGAACTCGCTGCGCCAGGTCCGCTGTAATCCCTTTGTGTATTTTTTTTTTTTTTTTTTTTGAGACCGACTCTCACTGTGTTGCCCAGGCTAGAGTGAGTGCTGTGGGTCAGCCTCGCTCACAGCAGCCTCAAACTCCTGGGCTCAAGCAATCCTCCTGCCTCAGCCTCTCGAGTAGCTGGGATTACGGGCATGAGCCACCGTGCCCGGCTAATTTTTTCTATATATATTTTTAGTTGGCCAATTAATTTCTTTCTATTTATAGTAGAGACCGGTCTCCCTCATGCTGCTTTTGAACTCCTGACCTTGAGCGATCCACCCACCTCGGCCTCCCAGGGAACTAGGATGACAGGCGTGAGCCACGGCGCCTGGCTTGTGTATTTTCTTGTGGAGTCCTCACGCGAGGCCGCAGGACCCTGGCGCACAGGCGCCTGGGTGTCCCCAGGGAGGGGCAGGCCCAGGACGACTCTGCTGGGTCCCGGACGGGGAGTTGCAGGCCTTCTTTCGTCGCCCCGTTTCAGGGGCCTGCCGGGGGAGGAAATCGAGGCACCCCGGGCGTCTCACCCTCCCGACTCCCCCCGCAGGCTGCCGTTGCACGGAGGCCCCATGGAGGCCGTGGCCCCGCCGGTGAAGCAGGAGGCCCGGGCCGAGGGCCTGACCCTGGACTCGCCGTGGCACCGCTTCCGCCGCTTCCACCTGGGCGACGCGCCGGGCCCGCGCGAGGCGCTGGGGCTGCTGCGCGCGCTGTGCCGGGACTGGCTGCGGCCCGAGGTGCACACCAAGGAGCAGATGCTGGAGCTGCTGGTGCTGGAGCAGTTCCTGAACGCGCTGCCCGCCGACACGCAGGCCTGGGTGTGCAGCCGGCGGCCCCAGAGCGGCGAGGAGGCCGTGGCCCTGCTGGAGGAGCGCTGGGTGAGCCGCGGGCGGGCGGGCGGTGGGGGGCCGAGACAGGAGACACGCCAGGTGGGGGCTTTAGCCTTTAGCACAAGCTTGGCGGGGACAGCCCACACGGGTGCCGTTGATCCCAACACCAGTTGCCTCTGGCCGATCATCCAAAAGGATTTGAAACAAGCAAAATGTGAGAACAAGGGTTTGAGGCGTATAACTCACAGGCGACTCTCATCCATCAGCACCAGAAGGATGCTGATCCAGGAATCTGATCCTCTCTTCCTGGAGGCAGGGCTGGAGGAACAATGACAGTAGCGTGAAGAACCCCAAAGCACAGTCAGTCTGAAACTTCTTCTTTAACTTCCCGGCTGGTGCAGTCCTGCTCCGCAGCTGTCCCGCCGTCTGAGCTGGGGAAAGTTCTGTTTCTGAACTTAATTTTCTTTTTTTCGGAGTTAAAAGTAGCTTACGTGTTCTGCATTTTGTTAAGGATTCTGCGCTTTATCCAAAGGACAGGAAGAAGCTTTTAAAGTAAGATTTAAAGCAGGTGTATTAGTTACCAATTGGTGCGTGACAAACCATCCCAAGCTTAGGGACTCGAAACAATAAACATCTATCATCTCAGAAGTTTCTGTGGGTCAGGAGTTTGGGAGCGGCTTAGGCGCGAGGGCCTGGCTCAGAGTCTGTCACGAGGTCACAGTTGTGCTGTGGCTGGGCTGTCATCGGAAGGCTGACTGCTTGCAAGAGGGCTGTCCTGCCTGGCAGTGGGCAGGAGGCCGCAGTTCCTGAGCATGGCCTCTGCATAGGTGGGCTTGAGCCTGCTACACGTGTTGGCAGCTGGCTTCCCGCGGGGCAAATGCTGGGGTTTGATGACTGGTTGAAGGTGGTGGGGAGGGAGAGGGAGAGAAATACATGCCAGTATCAAGTTCCTCAATTTGGAATGTGGTATCTCTCATTTCAGGGACCAGCGTCTGCCCCAGAACAGTCTTCAGCTACAAGGGCACCTCGGGATGTGGCAGAAGGCTCTGGGGCCGGCGTTGGAAAGGAAGAGAATGGGGTGATCCCCCTAGGTGAGCAGCCACTCCCTCGCCCTGTGTTCCTGCCGTCTGCAGCACCAGGTCCTTTGTCTCTCACCTGAGCCAGGGACCGATGACCTGCTGTCACTCTCTTCAGTGAATGTCCCTGACACCAGGTCTAGAGCTGACAGAGTCCCCTGTCCTGGAGGAGCTCATGGCATGTGGGGTCAGAGTTAGGAGGGCAGGTCAGTTGCAGGGTGGTGAGTGCCCCATGATGAGTGTGGCCTGTGGGCGTGAGCCAGGGCTGGCCAGCTCACTGGAACCCAACAGCAACCCTTGTAGAGACGTGGCGTTATTACCACATTCTCCCATCCAGGTACTAACCAGGCCTGACCCTGCTTAGCTTCCGAGATCAGATGAGATCGGGCGCATTCAGGGTGGTATGGCCTTAGACTACCATCACATTCTGTAGCTACAGAAACCGTGGCACAGAGAAATGAAAGGACTTGCCCGGTGCTGACAAAGCCAGGATTCTACCTAGGTAGTCTGAGCGTTCACACCCGATACTCAGTGAAGGGGCAGCCTCCCACTGTCGCAGGAACATCCCAGAATGGCCCTCATTGGCTCCAGTGGAGTCACTGGCTCTTCCTGGCCCAGTCGCTGCGGCTGGGGGCACTGTGCTCTTGTGCCAGTGGCCGCACCTGGTGCCCATACCCGCCCTGGGAGCTGGCAGTGGAGCTGGCTTCATCCTAGCACACTTGCTAGGGGAACGGGGAGCACCATGGCGCACCTCTAAAAAGGAAGGCAGGACGGGCAGTAGAAGGCAGAAAGATGGTTCAGGCAGCTGGTGTGGAGCTGAGTGCTGGGAGATCAGTTGCAGCCTTTCAGATGGGAGAGCATCGATTGAGCTGAGCTCAGGAAGTTCAACAGATGAAACGAAGCTGGCTTATCTCCTTGGAATTCCACAGAGCAGACTGAAGCCAGGAGAAAGGAAATGTTCTCCACCCAACTTAGCCATTCCCACTTACCCACTTCCCATTTGTCTACCCAGATACCCACTCAGACACCTACCCACCCCCTACCCCCTCCTGCCTCATACAGCACCCACCCACCTATTTGTCCCTCCACCACTGGCCTGCCATCCATCCATCTACCCTTCCACCCGGCTACCCATCCGGGTGTACTACCTTCCTTCACCCATTCACCCATCCCCACCCCCACCCCCTCCTCACACTAATCCATCAATCCTCCATCCATCATCCATCCATTTGTTCATCCATCCATAATCCATCCATCATCCATTCATCTATCATCCATCCGTCATCCATTCATCTATCATCCATTAATCATCCATCCATACATCATCCATCCATCAATCATCCATCCATCATCCATTCATCTATCATCCATCCATCATCCACTCATCTATCATCCATTAATCATCCATTCATACATCATCCATCCATCAATCATCCATCATCCATTCATCTATCATCCATCTGTCATCCATTCATCTATCATCCATTAATCATCCATCCATACATCATCCATCCATCAATCATCCATCCATCATCCATTCATCTATTATCCATCCATCATCCACTCATCTATCATCCATTAATCATCCATTCATACATCATCCATCCATCAATCATCCATCCATTCATCTATCATCCATCCATCATCCATTCATCTATCATTCATTAATCATCCATTCATACATCATCCATCTATCAATCATTCATTCATCTATCATCCATCATCCATTCATAATCATTCATCCATCATCCATTCATCTATCATCCATTCATCTATCATCCATCCATCATCCATTCATACATCATCCATCCATCCATTCATCTATCATCCATTCATCATCCATTCATACATCATCCATCTATCATCCATTCATCTGTCATCCATCTATCATCCACCCATCATCCATCCGTCTATCATCCACCCATCATCCATCCGTCTATCATCCACCCATCATCCATTCATCCATCATCCATTCATCTATCATCCATTCATCATCCATTCATACATCATCTATCATCCATTCATCTATCATCTATCATCTATCCATCATCCATTCATCCTCCATCATCCATTTATACATCATCCATCATCCATCTGTCATCCATCCATCTATTATCCATTCATCATCCATTCATCTATCATCCATTAATCATCCATTCATACATCATTCATCCATTCATCATCCATCCTACATCCACTTTGTACTGGGCACTGCCTGTGCACCAGGCGCTGTGCTGGGTACATTCCCCAGCTGCACGGGCTCCTCCCTCATGCGGCCCTGACTCTGTGTCTTTACCTGCAGGAGACACGGCCCCTGGGGCTGAGGTGCCAGCGTCAGAGGACTCCCAGGCTGTTCGCCCTTATAAGCAGGAGCCTGGCAGCCCCCCATTGGCTCCACTGGCTCCTGGCCTGCCTGCCTTCCTGCCAGCCCCGAGCGGGACCTCCTGCCCAGAGTGCGGCAAGACGTCCCTGAAGCCAGCCCACCTGCTGCGCCACCGGCAGAGCCATTCCGGCGAGAAGCCGCACGCCTGCCCCGAGTGCGGCAAGGCCTTCCGGCGCAAGGAGCACCTGCGGCGCCACCGCGGCACGCACCCCGGCGGCCCCGGGCCCGCCCTGCGCCCACTGCCTGCACGCGAGAAGCCCCACGCGTGCTGCGAGTGCGGCAAGACCTTCTACTGGCGCGAGCACCTCGTGCGCCACCGCAAGACGCACTCTGGCGCGCGGCCCTTCGCTTGCTGGGAGTGCGGCAAGGGCTTTGGGCGCCGCGAGCACGTGCTGCGTCACCAGCGCATCCACGGCCGGGCGGCGGCCAGTGCCAGTGTGCAGGTGGCAGCGGCGCCGGGCCCCGAGGGCGGGGGGCCCTTCCCACCTTGGCCCTTGGGGTAGCTGCTCGCACCAGGAGCCATTCCTCCCTCCAGCGCTTTCTCCACTTCTGCTCAGCCCCTCCCCTCTTTCCCTCTTGTCTGAGCTTGGCTCCATGGCTCTGGTTCAGTCTGTCCTGTTCCTTGTCTCACCTCCACCCTCCCCGTTCTCCCTTCCTGATTTCTCCTCTCTCTGCCCCGTGAAGGGTGCCTCCTCCAGATGGTCTTCTCCCTCCGCTCCTTCCCTCTCTCTCCCTCTGCCCAGCCTCCCTCGCCCCCTCAGCCCCTCCCTGGAGAGCTGAGATGGAGGCCCTGGGCCCCAGCATGGAGAAGAGGAACTCAGTGAGGACAGCGGCCGGGGCCCCTCTTGATGAAGTGAGGATGACAGAAAGGGGTCTGGGTCTTGTCCCTGTGAGCCCCTCCCCAGGGCAGGTCGGGTTGGGGGAGGGGAGGAGAGGGGCGCTGGTTCCGCCGCTGGACTGGCTGTGGGCTCTGAGTTTCCCTGTCCTCCCTGTGGCCCAGAGACATGAGACGGACAGACGTGCCTGCTCTCTGGGGACAGTTCACCAGCATCCAGGGAGTAATAAAGTCACTGACCCAGTGTGTAGACCGAGTCCAAGGCTCTGTCTGACAAGGCTGCCCTCTGGGCTGAGCATCTGGGGCACAGGGGCTCTGGAGTTCGCTTTCTTGTCCCCCTCTCAGACCTGAGACCTCAGACCACGCTCTTCTCAGGCGTGAGGGAGGCCCTGGCAGTCTGGGCTCAGCCCGGGAAGCAGCTCAGGAATGCTGGGGTGGGAGTGGGCCGTCCCCACGGGCGTCCTCCAGAGGCACAGTGGGCTCAAGGGAGGGACTGGGCCGGCACCACATGGACCCAGGTCTGCGTCTCAGCTTCCTGCCTTGGTCAGTGTCCACATCCATCAGTGATAATGGTGGTTCTCCACCTCCTGTGCTAAGGGGGTTACTTTGGCTGGTCACTCCATTTCGTTGGGGAGGCCAAATAGTGTCAATAGGTCTCGCTGGTGGCCCATTTTGCCAAGAGAGGAGTTTCTCCAGCTGGGGGCAAGGTGCAGCCTGGCAGCTGTGGATCAGGGGTGGGGGGCATGTGGGGGCCCACTATTGGGTGCAGGCTTTGGCCAGGCCTGTCTTTTTAGGGTGCCATCTCTGCCCTGTGTCCTTGGCTCAACATGGAGTCCTGGAATCCAGACCCTGGTTCCTTCTCTCCAGGTAGGAAACCTCCAGCCTACAGGGTGCAGTGGCTTTGGACAGTGGAAAAGCAGAGATGTGAGTCTGACCGTTCCTCGCTGATATGTGACCAGCCCTCCTGGGTCCAGCTTCGCCCTGGTCCCTTGGCTCGTGTGCATCCAGTGCCTGAGCCTGGCCAGGGTGCTGAGGCTGAGCCCCCCACGAGTCACAGCTGTCCTGTTTGCATCCTCAGCTCTCGGCCCAAAGTCCAGAACTGGTGCGTCTGGTAAAACCAGGTGACGGCCAAGCCCTAGCTGCAAGGGAGTCTGCGAAAGCAACAGCTGGGCTCTCCAGCATTTGCAGCTGGAGCCTGGCTCTACCTTCCAAGCCTCAGGGGCAGGAAAGGGTTTGAGTGCTGGGCAGTGTTAAGGAAGACAGGCGACTGCTGCAGGCCCCTGAGGCAAACTGCTAGGCCTCAGCGTCCTGGTAAAGGCAGGCTAATAATGCCCCTTTGGGAGCATGGGGTAACGAACATAAAGTGCTTAGCCTGGCTCAGGGCCTTTTTATGGCAGCATGGAGAGGTCCCTGTGACCATGCCCACTGTGTAGCAGAGAAAGCAGGCTTGGAGAAGCGATGTCACCTGCTGCAGGTCCTCACAAGGGGACTGGGAGGAACGTGAGAAGTTGGGGCCCCTGGGCCAGCCTGGGTCTGATGGTGACGGCAGACTCGGAGTGAGCGCAGTGGCCAGCCCTGTCAGTGCTTGAATCTGCCAGCTCATCCGTTTCTCATCACCATCCATGGGCCCCGGCACTGTCGCCCCATCATCACGGCCCAAAATCCCTGTGACCTGCAGGGCAGATCAGGAAACTGAGGCACCGACAGAGCAGGTGCCTAGGTCACGCTGGTGGATCCGAACCCCACAGGCCGTGAAAGTACATACTCCAGCTCCCAACAGCACAGCGGCCGGTGTGCGCTGTTCAGGCTCCACCCTTTCTTCTGAAAAGCTCCTCCCGTTTCCCTCTGGGAGCCCAGCAACGCACATGTGCACTCACACACACCCGCGTCCCGCCGGAGGGACAGTCGGCCAGGCTGTTCTGTGGGAAGTCTGGGTGAGCCTCCGGGGCAGTCAGTGTTGCAGGAGCTGGGAAGAACGCCCCCAGGAGATGGGAGGACAGACAGAAGCCTTCATGCGCCCCCCTCCCCCGCCAGCCCCAGGCCTGGGGGAGCTTTGGTCCAACTCCCAATGGTGGCCTTGGCGGGCCCTGCCTTCCGCCAAGACTCGGACCCGGAGGGGGCCCTGCAAAACAAACAAATGCCCTCCACGCAGGCAGTAGGCAGCTTGGGACGCCCTGCTGGCGGGACCCAGACCGACCCAGGCAGAACAGTCTGGCAGTACGGCCCAGTGAGCCCACTGCCCCAGCCCGGTCCAGAGACCGCGGTCTGCCCAGGAGGGCGTGTGAGGGGCTGGTCCGCTGAGTGGTGCTTGAGGTGGCAGAGAATCAGAGCGAGGTCAACGCCCATTACTGGGAGAGGGGAACGCACGTCGTTCAGGAAAAGTCCAAAAATTTGGAAATAAGCAAAATGTCAATTGTGCAACTTTATAAAACTCTAGATTGTTTTTAAAACAGTCCAGCCTGGAGGTCACACGGCTCTTGGGAAATGAAACTTTGCCTCACAATGGCCTGGAGGCTGGGTGGTTCACCGCTCTGAAGCTTGGACAAAACAGGCAAGGTGCAGCTACACTTGGTTCGGCAGAGAAGATTACCCCCAGGTAGCGGTCTGGCTGCTGTGCAGACACCAGCCAGTGTGAACGCCGCAGGCCGCCTCCACACCGTCCCCCCGACCCGCTCTGCCCCCGGCTCCTGAGACGTGCTCCGGCGTTCTCGGGCTCATCATAAACGCGCTGAATAAGAGACTGGCACATGCCCGTTACCTGTTTTTATGACAGTTGCTTTTAAAAATTATGATCTTAGCTGGGCGTGGTTGCTCATGCTGTAATCCTAGCATTCTGTGAGGCTGAGGTGGGCGGATTGCTCAAGGTCAGGAGTTCGAAACCAGCCTGAGCAAGAGCGAGACCCCATCTCTATTAAAAAAATAGAAAGAAATTAATTGGCCAACTAAAAATATATAGAAAAAATGAGCCGGACATGGTGGCGCATGCCTGTAGTCCCAGCTGCTCGGGAGGCTGAGGCAGGAGAATCACTCGAGCCCAGGAGTGTGAGGTTGCTGTGAGCGAGGCTGACGCCACGGCACTCACTCTAGCCTGGGCAACAAAGCGAGACTCTGTCTCAAAAAAAAAAAAAAAATCATGGTCTTACAACAGTGCTGAGTGCTACCAGAAGTTGCAGGCAGTGAACCATGGGTGCACACAGCAAAGTGAGCACATCATTAAGACGTTGTGCTATGTGGAAGGGAAAAAAAAGAAAAGAAACAAGGAGATCTGTACTGCCACCCCACTCACAAAGTGACACCGCAAATCTTTATATAAAAGTAGTAAAAGTTCAAGGGTACACATCCAATACGTCAGTGGTCGCTTGTGGGAAGGGGAGAGTGGAGCGAGCAATGGAAACACAAGGGAGGAATGTCACAAATGCAAGACGAGAAGGGCTTTGCACAGAGCACTAGCCAGGACGGGGTATGACGGGCACACACATCTGCATCTGCAGAGAGAAATAAGCAGCTGAAACCAGCGTGTTTTTCCTGCCAGTATCCACTCTGACGGAGCCAGGTGGCATGAGAGCCCTCCTGTGACCCACAGGCCACCAAATCTATAGCCATTGTCATATCTACAGTCCTTTTTATATCAATGCCAACACCACAGACCAGAAAATCTCGATTGTGGTTTGGAAGGCTGGGCCTTGACTTCCTTGCTTCTGTCTTTGTTGACAAGGGAGAAATTCTTGCCCATAAAGGTCCCTGTGGGGACCTGCTGGTGGCCAGAGGCTCCACATGGGGCCCCAGTGGTGGCTTCCTTCTCGTCCTCTCCTTAGGCAGGGTTCCCTCGGGGGAGGGGCTGTCAGGACCCAGCCGAGGTAAGTTGATTTTACTCAAACTCCCCTCCTCTTGCTCAAAACACAGGTTTGGTGGAGTGCAGTCCTCCTAGCAGCTCACGAAAATGGTCATTCAATATTCAGGAATTTTGGAGGGGAGCTGATTATTAAACTGTTGGTATCTTGAAATCAGCCATGATGGAATATTTACGCCATGGAATTTGGCAAATGCTACCAGTACAGGCATTTTTCATTTTAATTTTATTTATTTATTTAGAGATGGGGGGGTGGTCTCACTGTGTCACCCAGGTTGGAGTGCAGTGGCTATTCACAGGTGCAATCATAGCCTCAAGCTCCTGGCCTCAAGTGATCCTCCCATCTCAACCTCCAAAAGTGCTGGGATTACAGGCATGAGCCATCGCACCCAGCCAGGCCCAATTCTTTACATCACAGCATAGTGACACTCAGTCTCTAATTGAGTTTCTCCTCTGACTCCTTCTAGAGGCCCTGGTTTTCATCTTAGTGCATTTACCAATGTTGCAGTCTGTATCAATCAGCTCTTGCTGTGTAAAAAACCATTCGAGATAAGAATAAACATCCGTGACTACTCATGAGTCTACAGGTCATCCAGGAGGCCTTAGGGTCTTGGCTGGTCTCACCCACACAGCTGGACGGACAGCTGTAGGCTGGTGGAACACCATGGAAAGGGTGGGGCATTGGGGCCATCGATGTTATCACTCTTCTGTAAAATCCTTCATTTCCTTCATTTATTCAACAGATTTTTGTTTTTTGAGACAAGGTCTTTCTCTGTTGCCCAGGCTGGAGTGCAGTGGCATGATCATAACTCACTGCAGCCTCCTCCTCCTGGGCTCAAGCGATCCTCCCGCCTCAGCCTCCTCTATAGGTGTTCCACCATGCCTGGCTAATTTTTCTTGTTTTTTAAAGAGATGGGGTCTTGGGTGGGCATGATGGCTCATGCCTGTAATCCTAGCACTCTGGGAGGCCAAGGTGGGAGGATCGCTTGAGCTCAGTAGTTCAAGACCAGCCTGAGCAAGAGCAAGACCCTGTCTCTACTAAAAATAGAAAAGCATTAGCTGGGTGTGGTGGCGACCTGTACTCCCAGCCTCTTGGGAGGCTGAGGCAGGAGGATTGCTTGAGCCCAGGAGTTTGAGGTAAATGTGAACTAGGCTGATGCCTCTGTGTTCTACCCAGGGTGAAAGAGCGAGACTCTATCTTGTCTCAAAATAAACAAATAAATAAAAATAAAGGCCAGGCACAGTGGCTCATGCCTGTAATCCTAGCACTCTGGGAGGCCGAGGTGGGCGGATTGCTCTAGGCCAGGAGTTCGAAACCAGCCTGAGCGACACCCTGTCTCTACTAAAAATAGAAAGAAATTAATTGACCAACTAAAAAGATATATATAGAATAATATTTATCCGGCATGGGTGGCGCTGCTTGTGTCCACCTACTCGGGAAAAGGCCTTTGAGGGCAATAGGATTGCCTTTTGAGCCAGGAAAGATTTGAAGGCGTGCTGGTGAGCTAGCCCCTGCCCACGACACTCAACTTTCTAGCCTACCCAACAACAAGTGGGGAACTCTGTCCTCAAAAAAAAAAAGAAGTACAAGTTATCAATGCTCTACTTGATACTTACTGCCACTAAAGGATAAGAAAATGCAGAAAAAGATATAACATGGCTTAATCCAAAAGATCAATGAAAAAAATTGCATTAATTGGAAGAGTTTTTACTCAGGACCCCTGCCCTTAAATAGGATAGTCAGAATAGTTTTCCTATTTAACAATAACATAAAAAAGCAAAATGATACCATTTGCTGAAAATGAATTCGAAATTTGGAAAATTGCAACAAGGAAAGACTTCCTCATTTCCTGAAATAACCCGTACATAATTTAAAGATACACAAAGGTAGTTGAAACATTTATTCACAATAATCTACATGTAGAAACAAAACAGTGACTATTAATTTTGTTTTCTGCCCAATATTTTCTTGCTAATTCAATTTTGATGAGTTGTTTTAGACTTTCTTCTGCTTAGCTGTGCATATGGACACAGGTATTCTTCCTTCTCCACGTCAGGGTAACAGCCCTGGGTGGGGGAGGTCACATTCGTATGTGGTGCAAATTGTGTCAAGTCCACAGAAGTATAAAAGGAAGGTGTGTTTCAGAGAACAAAGGGGCAGTTTGGATTTTACAACGAAAGTTCCCACCCAGGTCCGTTCATGCAAATGAAGCAGTCAAACTTGCTTATTTCTGACTGGTTGGTTCAGGTGAGCTCTGATTGGTTGGCTCAGGTGAGCTCTGATTGGTTGGCTCAGGTGAGCTCTGATTGGTTGGCTCAGGTGAGTTCTGAAAGCCCCTAAGTTGAAAAGAAGTGTGTCTGATTACTGGGGACTCAGAGTACGAGTGTGACCTCTCCTCAGCAAATGGCTGCTTGGCTCTATTTTATTTATTTATTTATTTGAATGCTTGGCCCTATTTTAAATTGAAGCCCCGGTAGCCACTCAAGATCAGTCCTGAAGGACTGGCTCCCCCAGATTCACATTTATTCAAAGATTCTTAACCCAAAAACACGTCTGTTTTTCTCCAGGCACATCCCATAACCCACTCATTTTCCAATTGTTTGCCAAAAACACACAACTGCCAGACCCTGTGGTGGGCAATGGGAATGCATCAGTCAAAGAAAAATAATCACAGACATGGAAAACAGCAACATGATAAATGCTTTAATTTTCAGATATTGTGCTAGAGCCTTTTCTGATATGGCTTCTTCACTCTCATGTCTTATGATGGTGGGAAATGTCATTTTAATATCGGATTATATTTGGTTAGCAATACAGTTAATAAAGCTGAGGCTTGTTTGTAGCTCTGTATGATCAAATGCAGAAAATAAGATATTTGAATTTATATTTAGAGATAAAAGTGAATCCCAAAGATACTATGATTTTATTTACTGTAGTTTTGTATCTAATCTAGCAATATATTTCTTTGCTAACTGTGTGAGAGAGAGAGAGAGAGAGTGAGAGAGAGAGAGAGAGATTGATTCATGGAACACTCAAGGAACCATCTCTCCTATCTTCCCTTTTGGTTCCCTCACCGATGAGTGAAATAGATTTCCACACACGCTCACTGTCTATTTTTAGGATAATCTATTTTTATTGACACATAATAACTGTACATGTTTATGGGGTACATGTGATATTTTGATACATTAATATGATATGGAATGATTGAATCAGGCTACTTAAGATATCCATCACCTCAAACATCGATCATTTCTTTGTGTTGGAAACATTTCAAATCTTCTCTTCGAGCTATTGGGAAATATATGATAAATTATTTTTAACTGTAGTCAACCTACTTGCTATTGAACCCTAGAACTTATTCCTTCTATCTAACTGTATTTTTGTGTCTATTAACCAACCTCTCCATCCATCCCCCAGCTCTAGTAACCATCATTCTACTCTCTACCTCCATGAGATCAACTCTTTTAGCTCCCACATGAGTGAGAACATGTGATATTTGTCTTTCTGTGCCTGGCTTATTTCATTTACCATATAAACTGCAGTTCCATCCATGTTGCTGCAAATGACAGAATTTCATTCTTTATGGTTCAATAGCATTCCATTGTGTATACATACTAATTTTCTTTATTCCTTCATCCATGGACACTTAGATTGATTTAAAATCTTGGCAATTGTTAATAGTGCTGCAATAAACATGGGGGTGCAGGTATCCCTTTCATATACTGGTTTCCTTTCCTTTGGATAAGTACCCAGTAGTGAGATTGGTGGATTGTATGATAGTTCTACTTTTAGTTTTTTGAAAAACCTCCATACTGTTTTCCATAATGACTGTACTAATTTATATTCCCACCAATTATGTATGAAAGTGAGGATAATCTATTTTTTTTATTTTGTTTCGGCATA